GTTGTCTTATTTTTCCCCATTAAACCTTTTTTCGTACTAGCACCTGGGCCGGCTATCTTGAGTCCTACCCCTAGTTCTCCCTCACCCTCCTGGCGAGGGGGGCTAACCATAACAGAACCTTTAAACTGCAGCCTGTTAAAATGTTAACACAACATTATATAAAATAAATGAAATAAAGATATGCTAAAAGTATATATAATTAATGTCCAGTGTCTATTGTTGTTAATCAGCCAGAAAACCAGTACAGAAGTGGATTTATTATTCATAAAGTGGCGAGGGGGGCTAACCATAACAGAACCTTTAAACTGCAGCCTGTTAAAATGTTAACACAACATTATATAAAATAAATGAAATAAAGATATGCTAAAAGTATATATAATTAATGTCCAGTGTCTATTGTTGTTAATCAGCCAGAAAACCAGTACAGAAGTGGATTTATTATTCATAAAGGTTTTTAAAATATGTTATTACATAGAGCATTTGACATGGTAGCACATGGAAACAGAGGAGATCATATCCAGCGGAAATATGCTTTTCTGTAAATGAAAATTCAAATATGAGTATTTGAGACATGTTTTAGTCTGATATGAGTTGGAACTTGCATATAAAACACAACCATTATTAATGTGTTGTAGTGTGGTTTAGTTAAAGTCTGCATCTACTTTCTTCACATGGATTCGGATTTGTTGAAAACAGCAAATGGCAGCACATGATAACTGGTGTTCATGGATGCAGCTGCTCCTTAAACTGTTTTATTTGCCACCAGCCTCCATGAACTCTCATCAGAAGAGCTGTGTTGCTGTCTTATAAAGCCATTTTTTCTACCCTTAAAAAATAAAAGATTACTGCTCTGATCTGAGGCAGGTTCAGGCCATAAACTAGAGGGTTACTCATGGGAGGGATGATCAATACCTCCAGAGATAAAGCAACAATGACAAATGAATTTACTGCATCAAGTTTATACCAACTCAGTGAAATCTCACAGAACACAGAGATGCAATAGTTCCCAAAGGTCACTATGTGGGGCAGGCAGGTCTGTAAGGCCTTTCCTCTGAATTCAGATGAACTTCTCCTGCCGACAAGCAGAATGCGCAAGTAGGTGTACAGGACAAAGGACAGGGGAATGAATATTGATGTCAGAACAACAAACTGACTTGCTGTGTTGATCACAGTTGTGTCCACACAGGAGAGACTGATTAAAGTCCAGCAGTTGCAAAAAACCCTCTGCAGTTTGTTTCCACACAAAGGCAAAGTGGTGGCCAGATAGAAAAAGCAGCCTAAAACACTCACAGGGTACAACACAGCAAAGAACAACAGCATCAGAACCGTACTAAATGTCATTTTACTGTGATAGTGTAAAGGCTGGCAAATAGCAACAAACCTGTCATAGGCCATGACTGTGAGGAGAGTCACCTCATTTGCAACATAAGTGTTAGTAATGTACATCTCAGTGAAACAGAGTGGACGCAAGATGAAATGAGTATCGGACAGAAGGTCCATCAGGAACCTGGGGAAGAAGCCGGTCGAGCCATACAGAGAGTTTAAACACAGAGAGCAGATGAAAATATACATGGGCTGATGCAGAGAGTTCTCCAGGCAGACTGACAGAACAATGACAAGATTAGCAGAGATTATAGTCACGTAGATCAACAGAGAGAGACTGAAGAAAAGATATCTGAGGGGCCCATAGTCTGCAAACACAGTGAACTGAAAATAGGAGGGAGTCAGGCTGTTGTTGCTCTTCATGTCTGCACAGCAGCACAGCTCATTCACTAGTGGGACCAAAGTATTCAGAATAATTAATGCATTTCATATAAATCAAAACATATGTTTAGAATTTACAGAGATGAAAAAGTTACATGCACTAAATTACATAACCCAGCATCACATTTCTCAAGTCAAATAAACAGAACTTTAAATAAAAGCCCAAAGGATAACTAATATGAAGTGCTTATGAATTATCACCGCTGACATTCAGCTCCCAGCTCCTACACGTCCATGTTCACAACTGATGGAGCCACAGTTCTTCACTGAGAGCTCTCCCAGTGTAACCCAAACTGAGGCAGCTGCTGGACTGTCATCCTGTTTTGTTGTTACACTGAGAGCAGCCACAAACACAGACTGGGCTCAGAGGGACATGATGGAAGTCCAACCCTTCACTGACTCACTCTGTTGTCTTTAGTTGGTTTTCTCTCGTAGTCGTAAGAATACAAGAGACAAAGCAGGCTCACAGAGAGCAGTGGACCAGTGATTTGAAATATTTTATATTATATAATATAATTAAATTGATCACAATTTTTTGTCTGACCTGACAATATTATATAATATAATTAATTTAATCACAATTTTTTGTCTGACCTGACAAATGCGGGCTGACACCAGTGAGACAAAGCTCCCAACAGGAGCAGAGTGGTGTAGAAACAAGGAGTGTGTCCTTGTTGCGCTGTATGAACTGGAGCAGACAACAGAAATAGATTGATGACTGAAGCCAGTTATTACTGGGCTGGGAAACCAAGTCTTGAAGTAGTAATTTAAAGAAAAATGCCTCTAGCGCCAACAACTTTGTTCCCTTGGAAGTTTTGAAGGACATCCTAAATTAGAAAAAGCACTTTTATATGGAAAAGCAAGTCAGATAAGAGGGAAAGGTTTTATGGAAGTTTTCAAATAAGCCAGTCTCTTTTAAGGCTAATCGCAGATCAGTTAATCTGTGATTAACTTATGCAAAAATGGTTTCACAAAGAAACAATCATAGAAACAAATTGAGTCATGTGGTTAAAAGAACAAATAAACAGTTTTAATAATAAATTTCTTGAATATAAAAATAATAATCCTTACCTTTGGCAAAGCATTAGCTTAATCATTAATTTAAAAAAAAACAGTCCTAATATTCTAACACACTCATGTATGTTGCTGGGGAGTACAAAAATATAGACACCTCTAAATATAATGTAGCCCAGTACAACAACACCTTTAACAATGACTTCAATAATAAACTGAATTTATACAATTGACACTTTCAACAACTGAAACATTGTGAGCTTCATAAACACAGATGTTACATTGACACAGTGGTATAGGTGTAATGTAATGAAGTGGCTGGTGTGTGTGTGTGGTATAGCACAAATCACAGCAAAAGTCATCTCGGGACACTTTATGAAGTAAGGTTTATACTGGTTTTTAATAATGCAGACTCAGTACTATGTTTTGATTCAAAACCAGACTGAAATTGCTAACCCTAACCCTATCTGTCAGAAAAAAATTGAGTTGGATAAAAACAATCTTCTCCAGAACTTTAGACATAAAAGATAATTTAGACACTGGTCTAAAATTAGAGAACACTAAAGGGCCAAGATTTGGCTTTTTGAGAAGAGGCTGGACAATTGCTTTTTTAAGGTGGCAAATGAAAGAACGCAGTTGCTGTTTAGTGCATGCAGGTGCCAGTAGGATGTTAGATACAATGAGATTAATGTGGTCCAGTTTGCATAAAGGCAGGGAAGCCTGACAGAGGATAGGGTCTAGCTGAGGAACTCCAGCAATGTAGAGGAGTCTTTGGTTTTCTCCAGGGCTAATGGAACACCAAGGTCCTTGCAAGCTGGGATGATGGAGGATAAACGTCCAGCCAGAGGTGAGGATGCCAGGGAAATGAAGAGAAAATCATCCAAAAGGTGGACCATGTGTAGGACCCCATAGTTATTTAAAAGAATCCAACACAGGTCTTCAGTGAAGGAATCAAAAAGGTTTGGGCTGCCTTTGCAACCAGAGGTGAGCCCCACAGCCAAGTAATATGGGTTAATACTAGTGTATGTTGAAGAAGTGCCAGTAGTCCAGATGGAGGGGCAGGGCCTTGAAGGCATTTGCAATATCTACCATGGGAAAGTCAGGTTCCCCTCCCAGGAAGTTTAATGAGATAAATGGCATGGCTGACCTTAGCATAGTTAAGGGAAAACTTGTCACTTGGAATCAAACTGTTGATTCTGGGGACATGGCTGCCATGGGGTGTGGAGAGGCCTATGATGAGCCTTTTTCCCAGAGTGGTGACTTTTGAAGGGGTTAATAGATAAAATAGATAGATGGAAAATGGTGGTTGACTGAACGGACTGATCATGAAACTAGGCTCTAGCTCAGGGATCCCCAACCCCTGGTCCCTGGACCGCTACTGGTCCATGGATCATTTGGTACCAGGCCGCAAAGAAAAAAATTTCGTGGTTAAAATTAGTTATTTTTCTTTCATTAGTCTTAGTTTGGAAAATGACTGTTTCCAAAATGACTGCCAAAAAGAAAGCTGCATTTAATAGAAAATACCACGATTCCTACCTAAATTACGGGTTCATCGCAACAGGTGATACACAAGCTCCACACCTGCTATGCATAATTTACGATGACCGACTAGCTAATGAAGCCATGAAACCCTCAAAAATGCTTCGCCACATTGAGACAAAACACCCCACGTTAGAAGACAGGCCCTTGGAATTTTTTTCTAGTTGAAGGGAAACAAGCCTAGGGATCCCACTGACTCTACATTATGGTGAGTTGATATCATAGTGTAGAATTATTGTAATTGCCTAATATAAAGTGTATTTGTTGCATTTAGATTACATACTATAAACTAACAAAGTTTTTTTTTATTGGAATCCTCGTGCCTCTACCTGGTCTGCGGAAAGATTTTCATGCATGAAACCGGTCCCTGGTGCAGGTTGGGGACTGCTGCTCTAGCTGGTTTGCCAGTAACTGATCAACTGTGTTGGGTTCTTTAAGGACTGATTGTTACAGGTATGGGAGATGATAACGTTGGGAAACCCTTGGTGAAACCATCAATGAGGAAAGAAACAAATATTCTGTTGAGGCATTCATGAAGTGCCTCCTGAATGGCAGGAATATTAACAGACATCCAGTCACTGTGTGGTGGGGACAGATGAAGAAAGAATGGGTTCCTTCGCAGAAGGAGCAGATGTGGAGGAACCAACACTGAAATAAAACAGCCTGCATCATTAAAGTTGTTGTAGATTGATCTGCCTCCTCACTGTAGGTAAATGGTCCACCTTTTTTGTCAGTGGCTCTGGTTGAAGATGTGGAGCTAGGTGGCTGCATGAGCAGTAATGTAAGGAGGCTGCCATAGGGGCAGGGGTATGGAGGTGTGCACAGAAGGTTTAGATCTGGCGATCGAAGCAGAGCATGTTTCTGCTGACTGTAACTTGGAAATCATTGGTTCTATTAGTTTATGTTTGCACAGCCCTTCTCAATATTCGTTTGTCCATGGAAAAGTGCTCAGTGTACACAGCTGGGATCATGCAAAGTCTCTCCCACGGCCACTAGCAAAGGTACCGGCATACCTGCGCCGTCCTTACTTCATTTGCCCACAAAGAAAGCGACCTAAAAGACAAAGGAAGAGGCTGTCAGGCTCAAGGCCCTTTGGCGTTTGGCACCTACAGAAGTCTCCGGCCTTCACTGTAAATCCGACTTGATTTACCATCATTCTCTTATGTGTCACTGGCCTGGCTTCACCTGCGCTTGCCTTTGGCCCATTAGTCTGGACTCCTCGCCACCTCTTCCATGTTGATTTCCATGACACCCAAGAAGAGGTGTAAACTGGTCCAACCTCCTATCACTGAGATGTTCTTCCCAGCAGCTGAACTCTGCTTCATTGATCTGGATAGGTTTGATTAACGCCAGCTCTCTGGCTAACAAGACTTTTATTTTAAATTACTTTTTCATATCACAGGAGATTTTATGTTGCTGACTGACACCTGGTTAAAAGAAGGTGAGCATTATGCATTCTCCCACCGTATTGCGTACACCAGGCAGGGGTGGCGGCCTAGCATCAGTTTTTAAAAACAGTTTTAAATGTCAGCAGCTCACAGTGGACTCCTACTAAGGGGAGGCGGCAGTGGTGCAGTGGGTAGAGCAGTCGACTCTTCAACCAGAAGGTCGAGGGTTTGAATCTCGGTGCCTCCAGTCCATGTGTCGAATTGGCCTTGGGCAAGACACTGAACCCCCCATTGCCCCCGATGGTTAGAGCCATCGGTTGAGTTGGTGCCGCAGATGGCTGCCATCGGTTCTGTACTAGAAACAAATTCCTTGTGTGTAACATACTTGGGCAGTAAAGGTGATTATCCTGTTTCTCCACTTTTGAGTTACAGCTGTTTGTGATAGAGCTCTCTTATCCACTACTGTGTGCAGTGGTTTATCATCCTCCTAAATTCAATCAAGGGTTTTATTCAGGAATTTTCTGAGTTCTTGGGTTTTATCCTGGCAAAGTTTGATAAGCTTTTAATACTCTGTGATTTTAACATTCACATCTGCTGTCCTGATGATCCATTCGCCAAAGATTTTTAAATATTATTGACTCTTTTAACCTCACTCAGTCGGTGCATGG